TCATGCCTTCTGCTCCAACCCCCCCTGACCCCTAGCCCCTCCTTCCTCCCCCATCCCCTCCTGACCCCTAGCCCCTCCTTCCTACCCCAGCCCCTCCTGACCCCTAGCTCCTCCTTCCTACCCCAGCCCTTCCTGACCCCTAGCCCCTCCTTCCTACCCCAGCACCACCTTTTTGCCCAACCCTCAGGCTGTCCCCTGCCCCTCCGCCTGGGGAGAGATTTCACAGGATTTATCCTAATTTCAGGGTTTCTTTTTATCAGGTTTTTCCAGATTTCAGGATTTTTTACAACAGTCTCTTTTAAATTCTGGAAAATCCTGGGATCACCACGAAGATGTTTTTTTAGATAAAAGTTGATACCGTAGCACAAGAAATGATGAGTAGTTTAAAGACTGTCTTTTTTGCAAACACGGATCCTACAAAGCTGTGGATCCCTTAAAGCCCCTGGTGGTTATTTACAGTGGATATTTCATTTTCCTCCAATCTCATCTCCCCCGCGTTGAGTTTCATTTCCTTTCAAATTGAATAGATATCGCCACACTCGGAATACATACGTGTAGTCTGCTTGTTCATTAGCATGAAGGCTTTGAAAAGTTCTACATACACTGTAAATATGCAAATTCATCTTAGCCACCGATACAGCGATGGTATTTATCTCAGACTGTCAATTGTTGGTAGTAAGGGGGGTTGAGGTCAGGGGGTACCCCGGCCTGCCCTTCCAGTTCCTTGTAAGAGAAAAAGATCAGTTTAAACATGATGAATGCCCATCTAATAAACAAAGCAAGAAGTGTTGCAATTTTCTGAAACCTATTCTTCAACAGTGGACATCCTGGAAGTGGACACTGACCGGAGAGTGGTGCGGGTGGAACCACTGGTCAACATGGCACAGGTGACGGCCATGTTGAATCCACTCGGCTGGACACTGCCTGTCCTTCCAAAACTGCATATGCTAACCTTGGGTATGTCAAAGTCACACTTATATTAATTAGAAAGAGTCAATTTGCTTAAAGCATTGCAAATGACATATTTCACTATATTTTTTTCATTCCCACTACAGATGCAAATGTGATGATTGTGTAAAACTGGC